AGGTTATTCTGATGAATAAATGGACTGAAAGAATTGATACAGTTGGGGAGTTCAATATTTTAAAATATAACTTCTATAATCCAATATTTTCGTGATAGTAATTTTATTTGTGATTTGTTATTTTTATAAGACCACAACTAAAACAAAATGATTAATCTATCATTGTTTGCATATATGTAATGAATCTATACATAAGAAAAACATATGTACATAACAAAATGTATATGTAATAACATCTGCAAGCACAGATAAAGAGTCCCTTTTTACTTCTGAAGAAGCTAAAACTTCAAAGATAACAACCCACACAGTAATGATGAAAAATAGACAATTAGAAATTATTTTTATCTCCACAAGATTTATATTTTTCTCATCCCCAAAATTATTTCATTAATAATAAATTTTTACTAGAATTGTTATACTCACTGAAGAAATTACAGGTTAAAAAAGGAACAAAAATTTAAAACATAAGTGCTCAGAAGTCACAAATTTTATCCTACTTTGTACAAAGTTTTGGCTAACAACACCATGGTATGTTTGTGTGTATGTGCGAGCAAACATTGTTTTTCCTCACTGGCTATAACAAAATATATCTTCACACAGCAACATATCTCTATACTTACTGCCATCTTCAGTTGTCACCTATTCATTCTATGGGTTCTTGTTAACATAAATGCTAAGAAAAACAAAGTGCATGTATCTCTATTTTCTAAAGGCATTTTAATATAATGGAATTGATGAGTAAAGGGCATATACATTTTTCAATTTGGTGTAATTATCACCAAATTGTCTACTTGAAAAGTTATCAGCAACTTAAACGTTAAGCAGCAGTATAAGTACCACTGCTCTTTATTCTCACAAACATTGAGGATAGAAAACAGTCTCATTCCTCTTTTAACTTAAATTCTCTTACAAGAAACACTAAGGATTTTTTCCTATGTAAGTAACTTGTGGATCTGCAAAAAAGTACTTTGCTCACTTTTAGAGTTCTTTTCTTGTGGATTTGATTTGAAAAAATGCCATGTAAAATAAAGATGTGGTTTTATTTATCATTTGGTTTATGGAAAACTGATAAACATAGAATTGACATTTTGAGAAAACTGAGTCTTCCCATTCAAGGAACCCACCTCCCACTTCCTAGTTTCCCTCTAAGAAGTCCCAGGAAAGAACCTATCTACATCGATTCGGATGTAAAACGGACACCGGGTTTTTAACCTGAGAACGTTTCGCCTACTGAAAATGACTCATGCTATTTTTGACAAGGGAATGAGTTCTCATTAGGCACTTTCCTATCATGTATATGACACCATGTTTTAAACGTGCACATGCTCAGGTTTGTGAGTTAAATCATTCAAATTTTGCACCAAGTTCTCCAGGCGGGGAATTGCCAGCGATGGAAAGCAGCTGAGGCTCGCTTTCGCTCCGCGGCTTTGAGGCTGCCCGGCGCCCTGCAAGACCCGGTCCCAGGGGCTGCAGGGAAGCCGGGCCTGGGGATCCCCGTCTGACCCCGGGCTGAGTCCCAGCTACAAGCCCGCGCTACCTGTCCTTCCTGTCGCGGGCGTCCACATCCCGGCTCCTGCGCCTCAGGCAGCGCTCCACCGCCGCAGCATTGCCCTGGAGGGCCGCCCTGTGGATCTTCCGCAGTTCCCAGTCCCGGACGTGGTACCCGGGACCGAAGTACTCGTCGTCGTCGGAGCCCCGGAACGCCTGGCCCAGGCGTCCCCCGAAGCTAAAGAGCTTCCTCATGGTGGCGACTTCTCCTCAGACGCCCACCACCGACTCCTGAGCCGCCGGGCTCCTCGTGGCCTTTCCACCCTCACCCAGCCCCAAGCCTGCGATCCACCCCGAACCAGGGATCCACCCCAAACCGCAATCCACCCCCAAACCCGCGATCAGAATCCGCGATCCAGCCCGGTCCACCACAGCCTGCAGCAGCGAGACTCGCAGCCTCCGACCTCAGACCGAGTGAGCCGAGTGAAGCCGTTGGGCGCGCGCCCGCAGCTCAGCGCGCGCCCGGACTCCGGAAGCCGCTCCCAAGCCCGCGCGCGGCCGGCAGGCGGCGGTTGCAGCTCCCGCGCAGGCGCCGCTGGCTGGCGGGCACTCCTGGGCTCGTCTGGAACGTGCAGGAATCACCCGCGCGCAGCCCGCCTGGCCTGAGGTACCGCCTGGCGCTTGGGGCGCCGGAGCCCCCGCAGGAGCAGCCCTGGCCCTGCCGTGCAGGTGGAGCTGGGTAAGCGCCTGGCGGAGACACTGGTGCAGGCCGCGCAGATGCCGTCCCACCAGGCCGAGCCGCGCGACTCTTCTCGGCTCGTCCCCCTGCTCTACCGCGTGTGCTCCTTCCGCAACGTCTACCAGATCGGCTTCCTGAAGCCGCACCCGGCCCACGTGCAGCTGCTGGCGACGGCCGCGGAGCCCACACTGACCTTCGAGGCGGTGGATGTGCCCATGCTGTGCCCGCCGCTGCCCTGGACCTCGCCGCACACCGGTGCCTTCTTGCTCAGCCCCACCAAGCTGATGCGTGGGTGGACCGCACCACGCACCACCAGCGGCTGCTGGAAAACTGCGCGCCCACCGCACTGCACGGCGC